AATCAGACGTTGGAAAGACGGTAGTATATGCTCCCATCAAAGGTAACTACTGGTTTCTACTTGACTTTAGACCACCACTCTACCGGACGCTAAAAAGTCGGGGGACTGGTAGCACAGACTCTTGTGAGGTTACCGGTAGCATAGTGTGGAGAACAGGCACAACGACGACAATGGAAAATTTTAATGCAAAGAATTATCGCCACAACCTATTTCGTGGTTGAAGTAAGTTCAATATTTTTCCTGCAAAAATCGTAACTAATTCTACAGACCCTATTCTTTTGAGCGTGGGGTGCTTTTCCCATTGGGCCACAAGTTGTAGAGTGGCAAAAGTGAAAAATATGACGAATTGATATAGCATATTTTTCGTGGGCAAAATTTAAAATTATTTGTTTTTATTATAATCTACAAGATCTCAATTTTTTATATTTTTTTTCGTAAACTGCCAGTACCTTTTACGACTTGAAAACCCACCTCCGAGCATGCTGGGAGCTCGTTTTAGAGGCTCGGCACAGGTTTGGGTTGGGGAAGGACGAGTTAGGCATTATTCTATTTTCCTACTTGGAAAATCACGGGCGAAAAAAGAAAGAGGTTCTGGCGCGTTGGTTCAGAGGTGCAACTCGTTTGGGCACCCGCAATAAAAAGCGAAAAAAAAAAAAAAAAAGAATTGAGAATATGGAAGTGCACGTATCTGTACAGTGCCAAGTCCAGATACGGTTTTCAAGTTTTCAAGGTACCACAAGGCCGTATCTCACAATCTCGCCTGACAACGAACAATCCACGGTGACAGCGGAAAGATCGCAGTCAGACCCTCAACCCGTTGTTTTTTTTTTTTTTTTTTTTTCCTCCTCTGAATCCTCAATCACCGTGTGCCTTTCCTTGTTCCAGAGGAAGATGCATTTGCATTTTGCACCTTTCGTGAGCTTTGTCAGACCCTCAGCCCGTTGTTGTTGTTTTTTTTTCTTTGTTTTCTCCTCTGAACCCTCGATCACCGTGTATCTTTCCTTGTTCCAGAGGAAGATTCATTCGCATTTTGCACCTTTCGTGAGCTTTGGAGCCCGACCCTCAGCCCATCCTTTTTGTTTCGTTCTTTTTTTTCTTTCTTTATCTGAACCTTGGTGTGGCACTGCTCTTCTTTTCTCGCCGCCTGACAGCACGACCGTGGCCACCTCTCACCCAATTTTTTTATTTTATTGTTTTTTTTTTTTTTTGCCAAGGCAGCTGCAACTTCTTTTCAGGGCTGCCCCCCCAACAGCATCGGGAACCAACCGCGGACTGGTTCGGCAAGAACTGCTCAAAGGTACTAGCAGTTTAAATCACTACTACGTCCGCCAGTGTTGGGAAATTACGAGGTTTTGCCAGTTCCTTAACAAATCGGGGGTGGGACACAGGGTCGGCAATGTCCCATAAATCTGAGTTTTATAGTGTCGCGAGTGAAAGGAAAAAAGAAAAAAAGAAAATATTTTCTTTACTGCAATGATGTCGAGCAGGGTAGTCTAAGAGGTCGTGCTCACCGTCTTCCTCCACAGAATGCACCTTACAGGTAAGGCGGTCACATTGTGAATGAAGTCATAAAAATATTTGTGTTAATAATCAAATTATCCTTCCGCCTAACTTTCAAGTTTTCAGTGGTGATCTTGTTTCTATTCAACAAAATTGCAAGTCAACCATCAAACAAATGTAAGATATAACCGTATTAAAAAAAAAAAAACAAGGTCGTAGTAATTCAAGATAAAGGTTGATATGTGGTATCATATTATTGACTTAGCTAGAAGAATAGTGGTTAATATATCATAAAGGGCTTGTTGTTTTAAACCAGCTAATATAGCATGATGAGCCCAAGTTACAGCACGGTGATGGAGAGTTCTATGATGGGAAACTGTCACGTACGGTTCGGAGGGCAGAGACTCACCTCTGACCCCTACCCATTTCAGGTTTTGCTTAATCAAAGTTTTATAGCGAGTGAAAGGAAAAAGGAAAAAAAAAAACTATTTTTTCTACTGCAATGATGTCGGGCAGGGTGGTCTAGGAGGTCGTGTTCACAGTCTTCCTCCATAGAATGCACCTTACAGATAAGGCGGTCACATTATGAATGTTACTGTTTTTTTTTTTTTTTTGTCATGTTTTCTTACGAGTCTCCTGCCAACGAGGAAGGGCGGAATCCGTGATCTACTTAAAATGTATGTGATCTGCTCAAACTGTGTCTTGTCAGAAGATTGTAACGCTCATCATACTTGCAATTAGGGGGAATGGCCATTTTCTTTTTATGAGAGTACCAAAAAGAAAATGGAGTGGTACCGGGGCTCGACAAACTCGGAGCACAGTGAAATTCAGGATCGGCAAAAACAGGCTCATAGGTACTAGTGGTTTAAGTTTCTAAGCGCAAAAATCTTCAGAGTTGGCACTTGAAAATTGCGGGATTGGACCTGCCTAGGCCTGTCGGTCGGCTTACCCCCTAAAGACCCCGTCCAAACTCACCGAAATGCCATTTTTCGATGCCGAGTACAGTGGTGGTTTGAGGCCTACAGCAGGGTTTTAAAGTCGGGGAGCTCCTCCCTTGCAGCCACTAAGCGGTGAAAACTGCTCTGTAAGATTGTAGTCATACAAGGCTTGCAAAGTGGACCAAATGCAGTTGTCGAAGGATGCTCCAAAGTTTGGTTATGTCAGCTGCTACAATTTCAAAATTTTGATTTTTGTCCTCTAGCACATGCGGTAGTATCGGAACAGTACACAAAATATCAACATGACACTTGCGCAAGGATGAAAACCACATTAGAGGTGTTCAAATATATAAAAAGTAGGTCTTTGCCTACGGTTTACCGGGCATCACTGTTTGACGATATATATAGTCGAACAGAGTTGTCCGGTAAACCGTAGGCAGAGAGGGAGAAGAGGACACCAAACGAAGGGGCTGTAACAAACTGTTTCGTCGAAGTTTCACAAACTCATCAGTAGGTTGAACCTTCAACAGCCTGCACAATCTCCTAACTGATTACACTGTAAGTGCATTGTTTGACGATATATATAGTCAAACAGAGTTGTCGGTAAACCGCAGGCAGAGAGAGGAAGAGGACAACAAATGAGGGGGTTGTTACAAACTGTTTCGTCGAAGTTTCACCGACTCATCAGGAGGCTGAACCCTCAACAGTCCGCTCAATCTCCTAATTGATTATACTGTAAGTGATAATGCACCTTAACCCCGCTTATGGTTAAGCATCCACGACTGTCCGACAACTGATACGCCAAGGTGGGCACCAACGACTAACCTCAAGGTACTTGTGACGAAAATCAAAACAGACTCACTCACCCACACCAGATGGAAAACTCTACAGACTGTGGGTTCACACCCCATCACATAAATATATATATATATAGCCAAACACAATTGTCCGGTAAACCATAGGCAAAGAGGGAGGAGGAGAACAAATGAGGGGTTGTGACAAACTGTTTCATTATATATATATATATCGTCACAAATAGAACTGCTCGGTAAACCGTAGGCAGAGAGAGAGAAGAGGACAACAAACGAGGGGCTGTGACAAACTGTTTCGTCGGAGTTTCACCGACTCAT